CAAAAACAATGCAGTCGCGTATAAGTCCAGTATGGTAATGCTATCCCAAAGTCTATCTTTGGATTCAGTCTATGTGGGGTGGAAGGGAATTTTTGGCAAGGGGTTAAACTGGAGTGAATTGATGTTTTCTGTCAAATGCCACACTGCTGACTGTCTTAAAATATAATTTATAGTGTTTGTTCTGTTCATATTTTCTATTTTAGATTTCCATCACTTTTATTGTTACAAGGTGGGGCCCCCTGATGCATGTGGTCCCAGGGATCATGGGGAGGTCACGATTGCAGACATGATCACCACAACGGAAGGACACCGTCCATGAATGCAGGAAACATGATCAGAAAGGCTGAGGCGAGGGCCGGGCCCTCACTCCAGCTTCTTGTAGTTCTCCAGGTGTGACAGGACACAAGCAAGCGGCATGAAGAAACACGGGAAGGAGGTGAGCGCAACGATGCATTCCATGGTCCCTAGCTACTCCTGTGGAGGTTTTCAGTGGATCTGGGCGGGCACCACCAGGAGCCTCCGGGGCTGTGCCCCTCAAACCCCTCACCAGCAGTGGCGTCAGCCCAACATAACAATCAGCATTGTCAGCTATCGGCCGGGCCTAAGGTCGGGAAGTCAAAATGGAGCGCCCATTGGAAGTTGCAGAGTTCCAAGATTCATTTAAAACATGTTATTATCTGTCCTTCAATTATCCAAGATAAAGATGTCACTTTTCTGTTCTCAAAAATTTTTTTCGTTATTCTCTAATGCTCTCTTCTCCACTTGGAAATGTCATTGCCACCTACTCTTTCATCTACAACTACAAGACCTTGTTTAACTGTAGATTGAGTCACTAGGTCACCACAGACTCTACATCAGTGATTCTCAACTTCTTGCCGCGACCTTTTAATACAGTTCCTCACACACTCTGCGTGGACAGGGCTGCTGAGATCATGGCCGTCTTGGAGATGACAATAACCCTGCTTGCTGAAGGTGGAAAGGACTTGAAGTACTTAACTCATGAAGATCCCAAACTAAAAAGCCTCACAATTGGTCCAATAA